TTACTGGAGCATCCTGAACCTTGGATCTACACCATACTTGCAGCATTTCATCGACAGCTTCCAGAAATGGGTTCTTGCATCTCGACCTGCAGATACGAATCAGTCAATGTTCTTGAACGACTCAATGTAACGAGAATTCAAGATTGAAGCCGATCAGAAGTGCCCCACGGGCTGAGGGTTTCTTCACTCCCACGTCTGACAAAGAAAGACCATTTTTTTGACATCATGTCGGCTTTTGGGAGGGTCGTAAAAGACAGCCAACTGACCAAGACTCGCCGCCCATATCAAAGGCTGAGGATGACTGCGAGAAGTCATCAGTGAAAGTTTACCTTCCGAAGCTTGAGTAAATCGAGTATATCGAAAAAGCTGTCAGAGAAAAGAGAGATAGAGAGAGAAAAGAGGTGTCGTCAGGGTTCGGATCGACGAGTCATCTTTGTTCATCACGCAGGAGTTCGAGGATGCAATGAGAGAGCACTCAACGTACCTGTTCCTCTCTTCCAACGTCAAGGGTCCTGCTAGACGCTAAACCCCAGCGACATTGGCTTACCAGACTTCGGGCCCAGGCAAGGATTGTCAGACAGGCGAATGTAGATCTGAGAGTGGAGATGAGCTTCTGACATCCGGCCGCTGTCCGTCGAATCATCCCGAGAGGTCGAGAGCAACCTGCCTCTTGCATTCACCCGACTGAATTGTACGCTTCTTTTCTTTCTTCCCTTTGACGGAAGTCCGGCTCTTGCAGTTGCTGCCATCCACTGTGGTGTTTGATCGACAGCCTCGTGATGAAGCGGCAGCGAGGAGTTTTACGGCTTGCGATGGCGAGATCAGTATCAATGTAAGGCCACAAGTCAGCAAGATTGTCTTCAGCATCATGCAATCCAGGCAAGGAACTGACTTACCCATTACTGTTCAGAGCTTTGAGTGCATTGATCAAGTGGCACATCTCTGCTGCAGAGGTCACACAATGGCAAGTACCTAAGATATGGTCAGCACTCACCCTCTTTCGGATTTTGTAGTGATGGAAGCGGCAATGGGTTTCCAATTAGAAGCCCTGCATAGCTCGCCACAGAGATCAGGTTAAGTACCCAGGTGATGTTTGATCATCATGGAAGGTTGCTCGGGTTGCGTAAAAGAAGAGAATGTACCAGCACTCAGAGCGGTCCGCTTTTGCAAAGCAAGAGTGCTTCACCAGTCTTCTGTGTCCGCAAGCGACAATATGAAGGCCTGAAAAGTGTCCAGTAACTGTACCGTCCACAAAGACACTAGCAGCAAGCTCTTCAGATCACTCCACCAAGGTGTGAGCTCCGTCATGATAATTCAGGATTGAACAACGTTCTCCTCATGAAGCGAAGGTGGTGTTGAATGCCGCAGGAAGACTGACCAATCTCGTCGGTCCCGGAGTGGGGTTGCAGCAAGCTACTGGCAAACGGGACTGCAAGGCCAATTCAGCGCATCTGAGTGCAGAGCAAAGCGCAAAACTCTACCAATAAGTCAGCCAATCGACCAGGGTTCATTCGATAACATGAGATGCGGATGAGCTGTATGCTCTTCGACCCGACCTGTTTCATAAAACACTGGCCAGAGAAGCACAAAGTCTGGCACTGAGAGCGAAGAAGCATCGTGGTTTGATATTGGCTGCTGAGGCACACTAACGGCAAGTTAGCCGCTAGAGCACATCATAGCCGTGAAGGAGTGGTGTGTGGAAGGGAGAGACTTGACAAACCTGAATGAATGTAGAATGCGCGAAGATGGTAGATGGTGCTGTTGATGAAGATCTACTATCACCAACCAGAGCGAAAACCATTGGCAATGACCAGTGCAATTGTGCGCGCAGTGGAAGCTGTGCGCAGAATAGGCATGACGAGTGCCGCAAATGGGATCAGACAGAAGATGGCGTAAAGTCATGGTTCTGTTAGATCCTCGCGCGCTCTCTCGCACAGTCAGCATCGACAAGACTGGTCAGAGAAGGACTCTGTTGACCTGCTCATCGTTAATAGCAAACGCTGTAGTCGATGGTTGCAATTCTCGATGATGTGTGTCGAGTTGAGGCGTGATGGCGGGACGAGAAGTGTGGACAACTCAAGTCAGAGCTCACCCAATACACCTCGCTCCGTGCAAGGATCTCCGCCTTGGCAATTACCATCGCGAAGCGATGAAGGCCGCAGAAACGCTCCAGGCTTAGCACTGTCGGAAAGTGTAAAGCTTCTCCTAGGCGTCAAAGGCTGGAGAGTTCAGAACAGAAGACACTGCTGCCTGGCAAGCGAAACGAATCTGTAAAGGGCATTTGCAGACAAGTCAGCCCCAAGTGAGAAAGTGCAAAGGCTCTTCGCTCCTTCCATTGTCGTGCAATAGAGGCCGAGATGAGTCTACTCTGCCAAAGCGGCAAACGTCAGCACAATGGGAGCTCCTATTTCGGTAAAGAGGAACCAGCTCGAAAGTCACTCAACCACGATGCTGTTCTTACATTCGAGGCAAGCGCGAAAGCCCCAATTCTATACGTAACAGAGTGTCTTCCTGCTTGTCGTGTGGTAAACTTGTCCTGCAGCGAAGAAAGATACCTTTCTACTGCGATATTCGTCTATCTCAAAGCATTGCAAGTCATTCGTGGTGGTAGCCAAAGACCTCATACTGCTGCAAGAGATCGCTAGCTCAGGCAACTCACACGACCGTCCCCCGCTCTGTCGGTGAGCATCCAACAAGGAACTTTGATTAGGTTCCTCCGACAAATTCACTCCTGATCTGATATGTTGTTACAACCTCGAAGATGTCGGGCTTTCTCCTTGATTTATTTGACGTTTCTGCAAAGCTGAGATATGCTTTCCGGAAACCTGGATGTCTTATCCTGTTTGCTGAGGGCTGCTTGTATCCTGTTGCTCCAGCACGGCTGTCATCCTCACAACCAGCTGCTAAGATGCATGGTTGTTTCTCCATCTGTTCAGCAGATCACTGAGACTTCCTATCACCAATCAAAGAAGACCCTCTTTCGAAAACTTCATCTCGACACTCCAATCTTCTTCTCGTCAAGAAGCGAAACGTCAAAGATGTCTTCGGACTCCATGCCTTCTCCACTGCAAGACACGGCAAAGTTGTTCGATCTTTCGGACAGGGCCGTGAATGCAGAGCACATACTGCTATACCCAAAGCAAACACTGCACATCTGCTCTGACTGCCGCAGAAACTCGCGTAGGCTTCAAACCTCCAAACATGGCCTCTGAGAGGTAAGAGCACATAGGTAGAGGGCTATGAACGGCAAAATCCTGTGGCCTTTCTCATCACCCATATCTTCTCTCTGCATGCGCAGTACAAGTCGCAAACAATCTGAAGTCTTCTGCCTTCCCACTGAGAGCCAGGATGATCGTGCGCAAAGGAGCATGAACGAGAAAAAGTTCATTACCTATCCCTCATCTTCTGCACTCTTTCTCTTGCGCAGCGCAAGCCGCAGACGTTCTTGAACTTTCAAATTGGTTGTTGAGAGTCTTAGCGTCAGTCAAAGGAGTGTGAACATCAGGATTGTCAAGCAGGTCTCGATTGCTATATATTCTATCTCAACCACGCAGCGAAAGTCGCAAACGCTCTGGAACCTTTGAGGTGCCCGCTGAGAGCTTGACACTGGCATCTTTGTGGTCTTTGACTCCTGAACAGAGATTTTCGACCCCTGATGAACTCTGACAAACCACCACAGTTACGGTAGCTCTTTTCAATTTGCGCTGAAGTGCGCGCACATAAACAGTTGACTGCAGGGAACAAAGCTGGCAGTGACTTCACCTTCTGCTTACAGACCTGCATCTCATCTGGCGCTGCACAAGGAGGATGTTCAACATCACCTGCTCCTTTTTCTTCTGCATCATATGCTGGCGAATTCTTTCTTGTCTTTCGCGAACACTCAATGGACGATCGTCCCTGAGGTTGTAGGTGCTAACAGCAAGCATGTTACCGCTGAGGCTTCTTACTTGCTGGTTGTCGAGCTGTGTTAGTTCAACGAGCTCCAAGTAGCGGCGGATGAGAGGTCTTGCTGGCGTCGCTTGTTGTCTCGCTGGCCATGTCAAGTCGGCTCCTGCTTGTGCTTGAGAAAGTCCGATTCCCTGGTCACATCGATGCGAGCGAGAATGCACTTGGTGTTCAAGTCGTCCTTCTCGTGACCTCTGACGATGGTGGGGTGGACGTGTTCAACGACATTGTTGACAAGGAGGTCGAGCATCTCATATTTCATCCATTGATGTTGTCCAGGTTGTTCTCGAGGTGCTCTTCTTGCCCTTTTGAGGCCCCGAGCAATCCAAGCATCTCGTTGTCAAGAACGTACTCAGCGAGGTCAGAGACGGACTCGCGCATCTTGCGATTCTCAGCAAGGACGGCATCAAGGTCTTCGCGAGTACTGCGGTTATCAGCGAAGATGTGATCGACAGTGTTACGAGTAGCAGCCAAGAGATCCTGGTTGCGGAATCCAATGTTGGCGAGACGGTCAACCTTGCCAGAGACAAGACTGATTCTGTGCAGCTGGTTCTCTTGGAAATTGTGCATGACATCGTTCGTCTTCTTGTGGCGCTGTATCATCAAGTGTTGGTCCAAGTCGAGAGGCTGAGAAGTAGTGCTGGTGCCAAAGTTGTTCTGCTTGGCGTATAAATCGGGAGATCTCATAGTTGCGGTGTAGCGACCTCTCTCAAAGTTACTGTCGCCGTCGACACCGAGAGTGGTGCCGTTGTCGTGGTTGTAGTAGTACTCGGCAGCGTTCTGGCTGAGCTCAATGCCCAGACCACCAATCTTCGTGTAACGCTGACGATGAGAGCGACCACAGCACAGCAACACTGGAACTTTGCACCGAGATGCGCGCCCGCGAACATTTGACGACGAGGAACAGAGGCTGAAGACAGATTCCACCTTGCGTTCGCGAGCGCGCATCCCGAGATGGCGTTATATGAAAGAGGATGTTGAAGAGTCTTCTTAGACCAGCCCAGCAACTGCCCCTTGACCTTCTTCTAGTTCGGCCTAGGTTCAACTCTCTAGCCTCATATGAAGACGTTCTTAATCTTCTTGATGGCGTCTCCGACGTTGTCGGAGAGAGCATCGCGCGTGCGCTTGGGAGGAAGAGGGTAGGAGTCGTAGGTGCACTTGCCAGGGCCGGGNCTCGGGCTCAGGCAGCTCTGTGTCATCGTCAGCATCGTCAACTTGGATAGACAAGAAAGTGTCAAGAACTCACTGCCATTGACGCGGACGTAGTCGGCAAGGTGCTCCTCGGGCAGCTTGATGGCGTTGGCAGCAACCTGAATCTGGCGGAGGGTGATGTCGCCGTTTTTAAGGTCGGCCATGTACTTCTTAACATCAAAGGCCTTGCGAGGAGTGATGAATTAGGCCTTGCTATCAACCAGCAGGGAGTTGTTGCTGTTGACGCGCTCAGCTGCCATCTCGTCAACTCCCATGGAGGCGATGCGGGCATGAGCCTCGTCGAGAGCTCTGATAATGTTGGAGAAGGTAGTGCATCTACCTCTCCACTCTCGTGCTTCATCAAGATTGATGTTGTCCAGGTTGTTCTCGAGGCCTAGAGACGAGTATACACGTCATGGCCACCGACAGGAGCAATGGCCCCGGCCCAAGCCACATATTCGATTGCCTGGAGCCAGGGCTCTTGTTGAATTTCTGATCAGCTGCCCCTGCCGGTGAAAACGTCGCGGTCCCAGCCCAAGCCACCTCTTCAATTGCCTGGAGCGGGGATTGGACGGTGCAAAACCGAACAAAAGTCCTCGATGATCGAATGAACGACGGAAGCCTGGCTTTTGAGCTCTCCATACATGCACTCGTCCCACTTCTGACATCTGGGGCCCTCGGGCTTGCGAACGAAGTCCGACATCAGCAGCTTCCTCTGATCACCAAGGGTTCTGACCGGGTTGTAGGCGCTAGGCCGGGGTAGGTGCTCGTTGGTNATGCCGGCCTCGTGTCTCTGAGCTTCGGTCATGTCCTCGCCGGCCTTGATGAAGCGGCCGACATCTTCAGACGCCTTGAGCTCGACAATGTCATGGTCAGGGCGCTTTAGATCGTCGCAGTAGGGNGTGTCGAGAGACAGCCAAAGGTGGGGGTCTAGGTGCTCGAGGATCTTGTAGAGCGCCTTGAGCTTCTTGGACACCATCTTCTTGTCGATCAAACTTTTTGATCCTGGGCCAGTCACCTATTCAATTGCCCGAGCCCAGGATCAAAGTTGTTGATGCCGGCCTTGAAAATGTCCAGGTTGTTCTCGAGAATCTCTGCTGGGTCCCAGGCCAGCCACCTCTCCAATTGCCTGGACCTAGGACCTCCATCTTTTGTGTCAGTTAACGACACTGTAGAGAGAATGAGAGTCTCTGCCTTAGCCTCGTCTCCGATCTTGGAAGGAGGCTGGTAGGTAATGGCAAGAAGCAGATCACCCTCGAGCAAGTCGCCAGCAATGCATTAAGGAGTCTTGGCCTTCTCGGCAGACTTGGGAGAGTGCTTGTCAAGCTGTGGGCTGCGGAAGAGTTCAGTCGGCATGGGGGAGATTGGAACTCCTCATCGATCTCTTTGACGAGCTAGCTCCGTGCACGAGGACCAGCGACAGCGGTGTTGCAAGGTGTTGTTCGAGTTTGATGAGACAAGCCTGAAGCAAGCCAAGAAGTGGTCTGGTATGACTGTGTCAACTCAGAGAGAAATGTCGCGCCGAGAGCCCCAAAGTTAGAAGGTGAAGGGAGGGCTTTGACCCGACTCCGAATGACCCAAGCCACGAGGTTGCTTCGACCCGAGAATATGAAAGGGGCTCGAACTGGATACTGAAGCGACTCTGTTGTTGGAAACACTGCTCGATGCCGTCAAGGCCAGAGGTTGAGTGGCATTGCCGCTGAACGGACTCCGAATCGACCCGTGTCGCGACGTCGCTCTGACCCTGGGTATCTGTAGAGAAAGCTCGACCAGAAATACTGCCGGCAGCCACGAGGCTCAAGTCGCAGCGGTCGACGAACTCGGAGGGCAGTGCAGAGAAGCCCACAATCGGCAAAGATCTGACTCGGGTGTTTGCCGAAGCGTCATATCCACATCGAGAAGCAAAGAGTGACTTCGGAAGAGCATACAGCAAGGACCGACCCATGGATTCCGATACAAAGGTGTCTCAAATCTATCCCTAGTCAGTACAGATCTTCACCTGTTTGAGTGACAGAAGACATACCAAGATGAAGAGCAAGAAGGCAGCAGTGTACTCCGAGGCAGCTGAGCGCCTCGGAGGACAGAAGGTTGGAGAGTTGCAATAGCAGTCGAGGTTGTGTTTCTTGTTTTCGAAGAGAATGGCTGAAGAGGAAAGCTCAAGCAGAACCACAAATGAGGTTGCCCTGCGTTGAGAAGCATGACTCATGGCCTGTGCCAAAACTTTGAAGCTAATGACGTGAGGAGATGCTCGACCATGCCGCACCTGAGGCATGTTGTCCGAAACCCGGAAGGAAAGAGCACACCTCGAGTCTGCAAGGAAATCATGTCGTTGGACTTAGCTTGTCAAGTGCAATCACGTGCGATGCTTGCGAGGTCTAGCGTGATAGGTATGCGCAGAGATCTGCTATGCTGAGAAAGAGACAATGCCGCGAAGAGCGAGCCCCTCGACACGCAGCCTGAGTCCGACCCTTGGAAGGCCGAACAACGTATGGTCTGGTGTGAGGTCAGCAGAGATCTATATAAGCCATGTCACGAAGACAAACCAGGATTACTTGTGACCAGGGCAGCGAAGCCAAGGAGATGTGATGCGAGCAGACACCCAAAAGACACGCATGCACTTGGCTGATTTTCTTGGATGATGACGACTGTTGATGCTGCTCTGTCAAGTCAGTCGAGGTGGCTTTGAAGATCTCCGGATGAAGAAACGCATACCTGGATAGCAGACTCAATGTTCACAAAGCTGAGCAGCTGGACGAACTGAGCAGAGGCAAGTCATGTTGAGCAAAGAAGATCTTGCGAAGATCAGCGCAAGAGCGCATAGCTTGACAGACTCGGAGTTAATGACCGCGAATGCTGGCTAGTCGAGTCAGTAACGGTTGCAGTTGACTTGATAAAGAAGAGGCCGTCTACCTGGAGCGGCAGAGCTGCAGAGTATGGCACGTGCGTGCAGGCGCTCTCAGTCTGATGAGAGCATGCGACTCTAGATGGTCATGTCTCCGATCTTGCGGTGACGCAAAGCAAGAACAGTCTGCGCTGTACAAACCACTCTAGCACAAGCGGACGTATGGCCCAGTCATAGAGAAGAGCAGGCGGCAGTGTTGACTGGTTCTTAAAGCAGAAAAAAAGAAGTAAGAAGAGACAGAAGTTCTGTGAAGAAGAGAGCAAAGCTCGAACGCAAGGACGGGTGATGAAAATCCGTAAGTTGCGTTTTCTGCTTTGCGATGATGGCCGAAGCTCAAGGCGTCTATCACCCCTGAAGTGATGCTACAGGGAGCCGACAATGACCTTTTATCAAAGTTGTATATGAGGACTTGAGGCATTCTCATTCTGATCAGGGCTACCACCTCAGATGTGCCACAAAGAGGCTTCATGACTGGGGAAAATACAGAGTCTACAAGTGTCACAGTCATTGAGTACCTCTCTACATCACGGACAGTCTATGGAAGGCCCAAGACGTAGCAATACAGTCAACTCATTGTCTAAGAAACTCTGGCAGCATCTCTTCTGACAGATGGAAAGTCTGCTAGCAGGACCATCACATCGTTGAACCTCTTTCTATGCTCAGTTCTCTGAACAAGGTAGCTGCTAATTGTCACCTGTATCTGAAACGTGGTGCTTTCCTTGTGGCACAAAAGAGCTGCCAATATACGTCGTCGTGTTTACGGACGGTGCTTGTATCAGCCTGAGAGTGAATGCATCTTGCTTGCTCTTGGAAGGAATCATCTCCTCCTCATCATAAGGCATGATAAACACAACACAAAGTACTGCTCGGCACAGAGCATGAAGTGCCAAACACAAACATTCCAGATTCTTCTTCAGCTCCCAGTCAAAGACCAGAAGACACTGATGAAAAAGTGTTTGTCCACAGAGACCGAAAGTCTCTGTCAACTTTGTGTTCCAAAAATTGGATGGAGCGAACTCCATTACAAGCCTAGCAACCTATAGAAATGTCAGCATCCCATAGGTCTTCACCTAGAAGGTGTAGAAGGTTGAAGAAAGAAAAGAGAGACAGAGCAGCTCGGGACTGGCTTTTTATACCTGCTGGCTGGGAACTCGATTACCTCAGCGCCTGTGGTCAGCGCTTCTCGCGTTTTTGCTATAGCCGTCCTACAGCGAATGAGAGTGTTCGAATTCGCAATGCTGTTTTCCAGGTCACTTCTGATACCGATCTTTGAAGAGACATCCCCTGGTCAAGCTACTCCTTGTCCTGCACTAATGCCCTCCTTTGAAGCCTGTTACATGAACTGCCAGGCTGGAGAAGATAGCTGCTCTGACATGGCACTGAGCTTTCCCTGAGTACATGCATGCTCTGGTGCTCGCCTTCATGCAGCCTGGATGCTGTATACTGGTATAGAGATGTGTGACTGCTGTCTCCTCTATCTCTCTCCTCGCCACTTTCTAGCCATAACAATGTGAACATTTTCTGTTTCCTCACAATGTGACTGCTGCCTTCTCGTCCTGTTCACTCTATTCGTCAATAGCATGTGAAGACGGTCCACGCTCGACGCTTCCAAATCCACACAACAAAACCAGCCAGCTTCCTTTCTTTCTCCTCTTCTTCCACCATGGCTATCAAGAGAGGCCACCGAGGCACCTCTCGCCAGCGCCTCCGCAGGCACTGGCGAGAGGCAATCAAACGCCTCGAGCATAGAGCTGCTGCCGCCGCCGCCATCACCACCATCGAGCCTCAGGCTCCTGTCGACTTCTCCGCCGGCGTAAGCTTTCGCAGCAACGAGATATTTTGATGATAGACTAATGCGTTGCTGCAGCTCCCTTCGCCTCCCTCGTCGCCTCCTCCTCCTCCGCCCCCTCGCGGCCCGGCATTGGTAAGTCCCACTCCTGACTCTGCTTTTAGAGGGGTCTGAACTTGGTACTGATGCAGTACACTACAGCGCCGTTATTCTCCTCCTCCCTTGGGATGGAGAGATCCTCCTGCTCCTCCCTCGGCCCCTCGCCCTCGTCCTCGCAACCTCCCTCTGGATTCGTGGCCGTCCCGCTGCTGTGTAAGTTTGATGTGTCTCGTGTCGTGGTTCAGGAACATCTTACTGACTGTGTTGTCGTAGGAGATGAACGAGGAAGCAAGCTCTTGTCTGAGGGACATTAAACCATCCGACCACGGGTCGTTAAGCATGTACAAAATCAACTTCGTTTCTTCGCTCTCCTGATATGATTTCCCTTTTGTGCTTTGTTGTGATTCCGACGTGACTTTGTGTACACGTGTGTTTGAGAAGAAGCTTAGGAATAGCCTTGTATCTGTACCTCATCTCCTGCTTTCTTATGTATCATCACAAGGTTACTTGAGTTTGGAGATTTCTGTGACTTTCTACTGTCATGTTTCATCTTCTCAATGCCCCATGGAGGGCAAGAATCTCATTCAAACGACATTCACTCTCTACTGTCTTTCCGTCCCAATAGTATACCATAAGAATACAGAGACTGGTCTGAGATCAAGAAAGGTCCAGAGAATGTCTGTCGAGTGTCTTCTGGAAACCCTATCTTCTACTACACATGCCAGATTTTGAACCCCTTTTATGACTTTCTACTGTTACATATTCTTCCATCAAGACCCCTAGGAGAGCATGAATCTCATTGAGATAGAATCTACTCCCTATCATCTTTGCATCCTCACAGTATACTGTAGAAATGCATAAATTCCTCTGCGATCAAAGAAAAGTCAAAGGAAAGCCTCGTAGGTCTGTCTTCCTCTGGAGATGTTTTTCACTACTCAGAGATGAACTTCGGACGTTCTTGTGACTTTCTGTAGCTACATACTACCTTGTTCATGGCCCACGGAGAGCTTGGCTCTGAGTTTTCTCTCCATGTTGTTTTGTCGTACCAAAGATATACTAAAAAAAAACGGAAAGAGTACTTCCGCATTGGCAAGGGTCTAGAGAAAGCTGCATCATTCATGTAGACAGTTTCATTGGCAGATAACCCGATTGCGAATATGTGCCTTCTTCCTGCCTGATTTGCTGCCTG